TTTCCAGACACACGAGTTCCCATGAAGAGTGGACAACAAATGGAAACGCTTTACGTCATGCCACGCACACGCCAACATTTTGCCACGCCTCATGAACACTGGGTCATCTCCTCTGGCCAAGGGCAACTCGGTCTTTCTCAGGGCCTTTGGCATACCTCGCCTTTGGCTACTGACTGTCCCACACAAACCAGTTTCATCATTTGCCAACTCAGTTGCTACAGCTGGTGACGTGTAGTAGCTATCCATGTACAACTCATGCCCTTTCCCTATGTGCTGGGCCATCAGCTGCCGAACTAGAACATGGGTGGCACCTAAATCAGTGACCTCATCACCATGCTGTCCAGTGTACAAAGACCACTGCAGAACGTATCCTGACTTGGCTTCACTCAAAACAAATGCCTTATAACCATATTTGTCCGGTTTGTTCGGATTATACATTTTCAAGGTGGACTTTCCCTTGAAAGCTATGGTCATTTCATCTAGTGACAGTTGTTTGTGTGGGCCATAGACAGCTGAGAAGCGTGGAATGATCAGGTCAATTATTGGGTGCACCTTGAACAGTCTATCATAGCCTGGCTGGCCCCTCTCAACATACTCCTCATTATTGGCAAAGTGGAAGAAAGACAGGATAATTTCAAATCTGTTCCTAGACATCACTTTCCCAAATCCTGGTGTAAAAGTTGGCCAAAATTCTGCCCAATAATCCTTGAGCTCTGATTTATGTACCAGGCCCATGCTCAAATGGAGTGACAGGAAGGCTTTTATTTGAGGGACAGTGACATCATACCATTCATGAAACCGTGAACTTGGCATTAGTTCATGAGAGCCTAAATACTGATGAGCATACCGATTTGTCTCCATTGTAATGTGACTCCAGAAATCATCAGTCAGAAAGAGGGACAAAAAATCTATAGGCCTTGAATCAGTGCTAAGCTCTCTGTCACCACGATATCCAACTTGCTCATCAAAGGACTTTATCCATTCCTGATATACTTCCTCATCTCTCCAGTTAGCCCAGCCACCATCATCATCATCATTTCCAGCCTTGTTCTGCCTTCCCCTGTTGCCTGTACCACGTCCACCTCTCCTATGGACACTGCGACTTCGTGTACCCCTGCCCCCCCTTACATTTTGCAAAGGGTTGAAAGACTCATCATCACTACTTTCAGCCCTAGTCAGACCCCCCCTGCTGCCTCTACGACACCCACCAGCCCTTCTACGAACACTTCGCCCCCTGCTATCCCCACTAGTGTTGGGAGAAGAGTTAGACTTGTGTGTGTTTTGTGCTTGGTGAACACTGCTGCGTCTCACAGACGCACCACTCCCGCCCACAGACGCACCGTGACCGGCGCTGTAAAAAGAGTGAACGCTAACACCTCTGGTCCCAGCGCTATTCTCACCAACCCCGCTACTTCTACTAGCACGCTCGCTAATAGACCGATCATCATCTCCCAAAGGTAGATTTTCCCCTTCAGAATCAGGATCAGCGAATAGGAGACCCATCACTTCCCTAAGCGTCAACTTTTTGCATGCCATTTTCTCTCAATAACTCCTAAATCCAGCAATACCGCTTCAGCATAAATAGCTTCGTGGCACACTATCTCCGATTTCTCACCTAACAACTCCTCAGTAGCTATTCGCTGTCCTAAAAGTCGCCTAATTTGCATAATTATTTTACACCCCGCTCTGTATGCCAGGGCAAGAATGGCGGCGCATGCGTGATTCATTTGCAGCCTGGACGCGGAGTGGTGTGTGTCTCCTCTCTGCTCTGTCTGCAGGCTGGGACTGCTGCGCGGGGCTACTGTGAGACTGACCGACTGTGAGTGCTTTTGGACGGGGGAGGGACTCACGGCAGCACCCGCTGCTCGTTGAGCACAGTAACTGCAGAGTGATACGTGCTTTCACGTCAGTCTCCTAACACCACAAAAGTCTCCAATAACACCAGTAAAAGTCGCTAGATGTGACGCTAGTCGCTTTTGACAAAAAAGTTTGGACGGGTCTTCCTCGAACATTTTGCATTGCAGCATTACGTTTTTCTGAGCTACGGTCTAAGTACGGGATGTCTGCCAACTAGTGGAGGGGAGTTTGAATGAGAGATAACTCTATTAGGAGAAAACAGCTGTTTGATTCAGTACCGCGTCCTGTCGCAATTTTGCGACTTTGGCGTGTGTCAATAAAGTTTGGTTGAAGCTGACTCACATTTTTGCGACCTCTTTGACCAGCTCCCTGCACGTCATCTCCTTCATCTGAAACACACACACACACACAGCTGATCATTATGATCACTATTGATTGATTGTATCCATTGATCTTGAAACGTCTTCACAACCTTACAAGTCTTTCCTGGATTTCTCCGAAGGGGATCAATAAAGGAATCTCTTATCTTACAGTGGAACTTTTATCTAAAACCATTGATTGATTAGCAAAACAGCTGCTGGCCCTTTGATCGATTGATCGATTGATTGAAACATTCAGACTCACCTGCAGTTTTTCAATCTCTGTCTTGGCGGCTTGTTTTGCTTTTCCAATGGCACAGCCCCAGTAACCCTACACACACACACACACACACACACACACACACAACAGGTCATGTTTGTGATATTTGTGCAGGCTTTGTCTCACTGTGTCACCATGGTAACAGTGTGTCTGACTCACATATGAGATGCCGGACGGGTCGACCATGTAGAGCTGAGGACCATCGTCTTTATCGTACGAGCCGAGGATGAAACTGTGGACATCAACAACAGATCAGCTTTATTCCTCTAACGGGCTCAGTGTGTGTGTGTGTGTGTGTGTGTGTGTGTCTGTCTGCGTTAAGGCTGCTCAATTAATCGAAATATGATCATGATTACGATTTTGGGGCCAAACGATCTCAAAACTAATAAAATCGGAGGGAAACGATTTTTTTTCATTTTCTGTTGTGCAACGTTGTATAGAAAAAAGCTGAGCCCCTGAATTGGGACGCAGCCACAGTCTGCGTATTTCCGTGCATCATGCGCTCGGTATACTCGCCGTTCCCAACAATGTGAAGTCACGGGAGCGCCGTAACTATTTATACTTGCGCCGGTGGTCAAGACACTAGTTGCCGTCTTCTCCTGTCACGTTGTTTTCGTTTGGACAGGTAACGAGGAGACTTACAAATGTTTATGGGGAAAGGAAAGTGTAACTGAGGACTTCCTGGCAAAGTGTTTTTGACAAATGTCCAATAAATGCAGAATGTTTCTGAAGTTTAAAAAAATAATCGCTTGAATAATCGGGATTTCAATTTTGACCCAAATAATCGTGATTATGATTTTTTCCATAATCGAGCAGCCCTAGTCTGCGTGTCTGTCTGTCTGTCTGTGTCTGCGTGTGTGTGTGTGTCTCTGTCTGTCTGTGTCTCTGTCTGTCTGTCTGTCTGTCTGTCTGTAGCTCAGGGATTGGTCAGACAGCCAAGAGGAAGTGACATCACAGAAGTTCAGTCCAATGAGTGAAACCTGAGAGACTCATCATCCATACCTGCTGCCTGATTATCTATTGATCAGTCTGCTGATATCTGTATTGATCAGTCTGCTGATAGCTGATGGCTGTATTGATCAGTCTGCTGATAGCTGATGGCTGTATTGATCAGTCTGCTGATAGCTGATGGCTGTATTGACTCACCTGCATCCGAACGGCCGCACGGCGCTGTACAGTGTGTAGGCGTGGACGTACATGGCCACTCTGTCCGACAGGTGCTGTGACAACAGGAAACACTGTTAGCTTAGCATCGCACACATCACACACAGTTCCTGTGAGTCCTGAGAGACGTTTCCAAGGTTCAGGACCAGGTTCAGGACCAGAACCAGTTTCAGAACCAGTTTCAGGATCAGGACTAACCTTTAGGGGGATGTCGTGTCCGTAGTTCGATCTGAAACTGGAGGCTTCTTCTCTGGCAACATCAGCGAGAGAGCGAGCATCAGCCAACAGGCCGGCTACCGCCTGGAGAGAGAGACAGACAGAGAGAGAGACAGAGAGAGAGAGAGAGACAGAGAGAGAGAGAGACAGAGAGAGAGACAGAGACAGAGAGAGACAGAGAGACAGACAGAGAGAGAGAGAGAGGAGAGAGAGACAGAGAGAGGAGAGAGAGAGAGAGAGAGAGAGAGAGAGAGAGAGAGAGAGAGAGAGAGAGAGAGACACAGAGAGAGAGAGAGAGACAGACAGAGAGACAGACAGAGAGACAGACAGACAGAGAGAGAGACAGAGAGAGACAGAGAGAGACAGAGAGAGAGAGAGAGAGAGAGAGAGAACAGAGTTGGGGGTATCAGAGGCAGATGGATAATGTTCTTACAGTATTCTGAACCCTGTTAGATAAAACAGAGCACAATCCAATATGTGATTGACAGTCTCCCCCCCCAACAGGGTTTGCTGCTTCAGTTACTGAATGAATTCTTTAATTCTGTCCTCTCTACAGGCATTGATCAGACATTGATCACTCTTACAATGACTTGTGTTGCTCTTGCAGTGATTGAGTCCCACAGAGTCAGTGAGCAGGGATCACATCGGATCAATACAGCCGATCGGTTCAAAACTGCCTGCTGTCTGAGTGTGTGTATGTGTGTGTGGTTACCATGCCGACGTGTCTGTCGATGTTGAAGATGCGTTTGTTGGAGCCCTGCTCGTACAGTTTGGACAGAACCAGCTTCTCCACCCCGAACACGACGCCGTCCTTACAGCGGATCGCAATGGCCGTACTGTACACACACACACACACACACACACACACACACACAGACACACACACAGACACACACACACACAGACACACACACACACACACAGACAGACAGACAGACAGACAGACAGACACAGATTAGACACAGAAAGAGTTAGACACAGTCTGATGCCGTGCTACGTTCAGGTTCAGTCTGGATGAAATGGAGCTGCTGACCTGCTGTTCTCTACAGCCTTCATGGCGTATTCCACCTGAAACACTCGGCCATCCGGAGAGAAGGTGGAGGCCGACAGGTCGTACTGCGGATCATACAGAGAGAGTCAGAGTCACTCAGGTACAGTTTAATTAACTGCAGCTATTAAAGATTAACTGCAGCTATTAAAGGTTAACTGCAGTGTATTAAAGGTTAACTGCAGCTATTAAAGGTTAACTGCAGCTATTAAAGGTTAAATGCAGTGTATTAAAGGTTAAACAGTTAATTTAGTGTATTAAAGGTTAAATGCAGTGTATTAAAGGTTAAATGCAGTATATTAAAGGTTAAATGCAGTATATTAAAGGTTAAATGCAGTGTATTAAAGGTTAAATGCAGTATATTAAAGGTTAAATGCAGTGTATTAAAGGTTAAATGCAGTATATTAAAGGTTAAATGCAGTATATTAAAGGTTAAATGCAGTGTATTAAAGGTTAAATGCAGTATATTAAAGGTTAGATGCAGTATATTAAAGGTTAAATGCAGTGTATTAAAGGTTAAATACAGTGTATTAAAGGTTAAATGCAGTATATTAAAGGTTAAATGCAGTATATTAAAGGTTAAATGCAGTATATTAAAGGTTAAATGCAGTGTATTAAAGGTTAAATACAGTATATTAAAAGGTTAAATACAGTATATTAAAGGTTAAATGCAGTATATTAATTGTTTCATAATGAGCTCTAATTAAAATTCACCTCCCTGCAGTTGCATTCACTGTCTGTAAACCTCACATCACTAACGTTCATTTTATGTAAATTAAAGCTCTTTGGAGAATCAGATGAGGCCCGTTTTGATTAAAACACTTCATAAAGTTCATAAAAAATGTTAAATTATCTTCTACATGGATCAAACTTGGGCTAACACGCCAGAAAGCTTAAATCTGTAGTTTTCTAAAGGAAGTTTGGTATGTACCGGAGCTAACCGCTAGCACCGGCTGCTCACAGTCAATGTCACTAATTTATATAAAGGAAGCGACTGATTCTGTAACGACGCTGCAGTCCGCGTTTATTTCATTTCTGTAAGCTTTAATGTTCACAACAAACTGAATTTAAATTAAAGCTAAACCTTTCGGCTCTGTATACTTTCAATTTCACTTTAGCTTCGGCTAACAGGCCTCGTTGTGACTCAGCAGGCTAACGCGCTACCTAGCTAGCTAGCATGCTACAGGTTATTGTGAGTGATTTTCAGAGTAAAAGCGGGTTATTTGTGAGCTCTGTGGAATAAACTGTGACACAGAATGAGTGAGAGAACATTAAAAGTGAAGCTCCAACTGAAAGAAGCGCAAACACACTCACCCCGGTCCCGATGGAGCTCATTTTAAGTCAAAGTGCGGATCCTGTGAACAGCTTTCAACCGCTGCTGCTGGGCTTCATCACTCTGTGAGCACTGAGAGCGGCTTCCGGCCAACGCCTTCACAATAAAAGCCTCAAACTGCACCAGTATTCTCACCACGACCTGTTTCTCCTCTAAACACAATAATAACTGAGTTATTATTTCAATAATCTTTATCCAGACCTGGACTGGAGTCAATAACATAAAGGCAACAGTTTACCATCAATATTATTAATTAAAACCATGTTTGGTACTGAGTTAATCTAAATTAAATATAACCCTTTATAGTCGACTCTTTAATATGAGTAGAATCAAATATAAAACAAGTACAGCATACAATATACTGTATATACAGTATACATATAATAAATAATATATAATACATATGATATACATATAATAAATAATATGTAATAAATCATATATAATATACATATAATAAATAATATGTAATAAATCATATATAATAAATACATGGTATATATAAAATAATGTATAGTAAATAATAAATAATATAAGAACTTCAAAAGAAATGGAGCTTGAGCTGATTTTATTTTGACAACTATGACACAACTGATTTGCCTGACAACTTCCTGTTTCCGTCTGTGAGCTTGACGCAGCTGCACACATTCACACCACAGAAGAAGAGTCCTGAGCGGGTTCTGTGCTGCCACCTGTTGGTTGATTCAACGGTCCATAACTCCCAGCTGAACATTGATTCTTCTTTGAACTTTATGTCCATACAGACGGATATATGTGTACCACTTATATATTAAATATAACATTCAGTGAACTGCTGAGACACGGCGTGACCCCCCCACATACAGAGCTCCATCTTCATCACCTTCATCAATCACTCAGATTGAATATATCTGTGTGTGTTGTATATAAGTGTAGAAGTTGTGTGCTCACTCACTGACTCTCTGTACGTCTGGGCTTGGACCTGCAGGATTAAACCATCTGAATTATTACTATAAAGCGTTCCTCTACCAACGCACTGATCACTGGGCCTGTACAAACACACTCTATTATTTCTGTCTGGATCTGTGATTTGTTCTCATATTTTGTACTTTTGCTCTTCTGACATCAGAGAACATTAATTTTAAAGGTTTTATCAGGTTGGATGGTTGAGACGACGAAGAGCATCCACAATATAACAGATTCTTTCATTGTACGACTGTTTGGGAGCTTCAGAAGAACCATCCACAGATATAAAGTCAGTTCAGGTGTTTAAGTGGCGGCGTACCTTCTGACAACGACTCTACCACAGGAAGTACCTCCACAGGACCAAATGGTCCAACGGGGTTTATTTCATTCATTTAACACGAGTGACTGAAGCTGATCTGTGGATCAAATACTCATTTCTTTAAGTTCATTCAAAGAGTTATCAGTGTAACTACATTCATTTAATACTAACAGCCAAACACGTTCTCTGGTTGGTTGGTTGGAGTGTAGGGGCGGGACCTCGATACCGCGGCACCAACCTCATCAGTACTGCACAGACTGGACAGGAAGTGGAGACAGACGTCTTCATGTGAGGATGGTTGAGAGGTTTGTACAGAAAATACGGGACAAAGTCAAAACTGCAAAAACAGTTGATTAAGAAATGATAGAATTCATTAAAAGGCAACTTGTTCCAGTGAGAATGAGAAACTATAATAATTAACAATAAAACAAGTTGTGCTGACGATCCATCTTATTAACCAGCTAGTTAACAATAACAACTGAAGTGTCAGTTGGTAGTATCCGGATATTCTGGTTCGTTAGTACAGTGGCAGGAAGTGAAGATCTGGAAATGTGGATGACGTGAACCCTGTACCCGTCCCCCAGAGTCCCCCGCCCCCCCCCCCGGCAGTAAAGCGCTGACACAGAGCATTGTAAGAAAAGTGTCCGTAAAGTTTTATTCAGTCTCAGTATGACCAGGGTGGATTACAGACCGGCTGAAGTTTAAACAACTAAAATGTTGTGGATTTCATAATCATCTGTTTTAATCTTCTCGTGGTGGATTTTGGGTTTCGTCTCCATCTTGAACCGAAATGGAAGCTTTGGTCACATAAGAGTGAAAAAACATTCGAGTACAGTGCACTTTAAAAAAGAAACTTTACAATGAATCAAACGGAGCGACTGATCGACATTAAGGCAGACAGACTGAAGCTCCGCCGGCGGCTGGAATGACCCCAAACATCTGAACACAGGCTACAGTTAGTGAGGATGAGGAGGACGAGGAAGATGATTAGCGTTCATTAGTTAACTAATACAAACATATACAAGGCTTTTTTTATTTAGTGACATTACACTTTAATAATAAGAACGGGAACCGAGAGCTGGACTCAAAACGCCGTCACACAGCAGCGGCACAGGAAGTTCACCGACACATTAAAACCACCCCCGGACACCGCCAAAATAAGACGAGAGAACAGAAGGAGGAGGAAGATGAGTACAGAGTGACAGAAGAAGCAACCAAACTGGATAAAGGAACAGAGAGGACGGACAGACGGACGCCAGCAGCTGGACCGAACCGATCCATCACCGTAAAGTCTCCATGGAGCCGAATCCTTCCGAATCCTAAAAGTCTCTAAATCATCACTAACCAACAGCTCGCTGCAGTAAAACACAACGGCACGTTACTGCAACACATACAACACATCTGTGTGCTGCAGAGAACCCAGAGAACCCCAGAGATCCCCAGAGAACCCAGAGATCCCCAGAGATCCCCAGAGAACCCAGAGATCCCCAGAGAACCCAGAGAACCCCAGATAACCCAGAGAACCCCAGAGATCCCCAGATAACCCAGAGAACCCCAGAGATCCCCAGAGAACCCCAGAGATCCCCAGATAACCCAGAGAACCCCAGAGATCCCCAGATAACCCAGAGATCCCCAGAGAACCCCACAGATCCCCAGAGATCCCCAGATAACCCAGAGATCCCCAGATAACCCAGATAACCCCAGAGATCCCCAGAGAACCCCAGAGATCCCCAGATAACCCAGAGAACCCCAGAGATCCCCAGAGAACCCCAGATAACCCAGAGATCCCCAGATAACCCAGAGAACCCCAGATAACCCCAGAGATCCCCAGATAACCCAGAGATCCCCAGATAACCCAGAGATCCCCAGAGATCCCCAGATAACCCAGAGATCCCCAGAGATCCCCAGATAACCCGGTCCTCAACGTTTCTCTCCTTCTCAAAGACACCAGTAACACAAGGTGAATATATTGATCCTTTAATCCGTGTCACTGCAGCAGTTTGAGCCACAATAATCAGCTGTTTCTGGAATTTATTGCCAATAAACGATCAATACGATGCTGAAATAACGACATCATGATGCAGGTTTTTAAAAAGTCTGAATTCAGACTATCAGTCTGAACAAACAGCTTTCAAAATGCTTATTTTCTAAATGGAGTTTGGTTGATGAGGGCTATGCTAACTTCCTCTCCTTTTTTGTCTCAATAAATAATGATTGATTGATTGATTGATTGATTGACGGGTTATCTGTCTCATGTACGACTGACAGCAGATATGACAGAAGTTACCAACTGCAGCTTTAAGTGAAGTTTATTTTGAGCTGTTTCTATCTCTTTATTATGATTCCTGTGTCTCAGATTCATAATCATAATTAATCATTGAGCTTCTGTAGATTTGAAACGTTTTTAGACTTTTACGACTCATTAACAGGGTTCCCACTGTTTTACACGACAATTTAGATTATTTCAGGATTTTTGCTAATTTGAAAACATTTCCAGGTGTTTCCATGAGAACTGGTCTGTAAATGTCCAGGTCTTCCAGGACGAGTGGGAACTCTGTTAAAGACAGAAGGAGGGTCGGTCCACCTCCTCTTAGTGACATTCACTGGTTCACAGACGAGAGCAGCTTCTGAACGACCACGCCTACTTCTGCTCTAACCAACCCTAGTTAATGACAGACAGTCAGTGAGTGTGTCTGTGTCCAACTCTTCCTCACAGGTTAGTTAATGACAGACAGTCAGTGAGTGTGTCTGTGTCACCTCCTCGTTGTTAATACAACACAGTAGTCTGTGTCCAACTCATCCAAGGTTAGTTAATGATGTTACTGAGTCAATGTGAGCAGATTGTGTCTGTAGATTGAAGAGAATCAGAGTCTCACTGATGGTGGAAATAAAGGTTTTACTTCCTTAAAACAGACGTTTTTTGAATGGAGTTTGGTGTGACAGTGTGGAGCAGAGGGGATTTGAACCTTAATAATTCACTCATCTTATTTACAACCACAACAACACAGCAGCATTGTTTGTGACTGCAGATGATTTAAGATCCTGATAGATAAAATCAATACAGTGTTATTATTTTATGAATTTACAGCCAATCAGATTAGAGGTTTCACCCTAAAGTGGGCGGGGCCTGACCTAATGAGCCGCTCTCGTCTATGAAGAGTCTGAAAGTCACTGAGACGGACAGACGGGTGCTGCTGCAGAGGGGAAAAGGGAGCAGGAGGGAGGAGGAGGAAGATGAAGAAGAGGGAGAAAGGGAGGAGGAGGAAGAGGAGGACGGTGTTAGTGATGAAGACTTCCTGTCTTTTTAATTAACCCTCTGTTCTCTCTCTGGTCCACAGTTCTAGGTGTCCGTCCATCCGTTGGGGCTCCGCCCCCCCCGCCCCCCCCCGGTGGGCGTGTCCATCTGGATGTGGGCGG